GTCACTTGTCCAAATTTAAGCAGAAGTAAATAAATATTTTTTCTGACTCAGTAAATCTATTTATTTCGAGTCTAGATATGATTTCTTTGTACAATAATATTCCGGTAGGTGTTTTGCTTTGGAGAGTAAAATGAGGGAAAACTATATGTAAAGAGGCAACCATCAGACTGATGAATTCACTGATTGTTAATAAAATGTATCGTTTTTGTCCTCCAGGAAATAGGAGGACGCAAACTCTTTCAAGGACGGCCAAAATGAGACGCATTGCTTGCTGCCTCCCTCGACCTGGCATGGATCAACATTAAACCGGTCATTAGTCGCCATTAGTACAAACAGGTCTCAAATTTCTCAAAAAATAGTTCAAGATGACAAAATTTTGAACGAATCCTGTATCATGCATCAAGTGTTTGTGACCCGTCTGCCGACAACTACCAGTCCTTGATCACCTTAAACGAAATAGTGGGTGAGCATATCTGATACGTTCATTTGTTTTCCCAAATATTCCTTCCAGGTGCATAACCGATGCTGAAGGACTCCTGCCTTGACGACAGGAAACTAGATACATCATTTTTTACTGAATACCTTCAAAAGTCTTCCTGCTCCACACTTCGGATGGCATAAAAGAAACGTCGAATGATTCCATCTTTCAACAGTCTATCCGATAATTTAGCATGGGATATACAATCTCTATAAAATCAAAACGGTCTCATTAACAAAGTTTGATAGTGAAGAGTAGCTATTACTGGCTTGGATAGACAAAACGTCAGACTTTGTTTAGATATATTGTCAGATCTGCCAAAATATTTTCTTATTCCCATTTATGCATAATCGTTGCATTTTTAGTTTTAACTCAGACTTCTTCATATTTACAGTGAGTGACTCATCCGTTTTCTGGCCAAGTTCCCAGCAAAATACAATTTCTTCACAGAAACACACCCTATAAGTCATAAGCCTTTTATTATTTCCTCCATCGCGTTTGGGCGTATTTGGGCACCATGGCACTTAATCATGTCACCAAGCCATGGGCTTGGCTAAAACTTCTTACACTTACATTATCCCGCTCAATCAGAAATGTTGATCTTGAAGTTCATGTGAACAAAACCCAGATGTACAAAGCATGCATAGGTGCAAGTATACTCGAATGCAAACCTACCTACTGGTGAGATAAACTCGACAACGATACATATGATTAAAGTTGTATAGCGCTGATTTTGCACCAAGTCATTAAATGCAACAAGGAAACCAAAGTGAATGATACGATTCAGATTGGAATATGATGGTTATAAATAAATAAATAAATATATAAATAAATATGCATTTACCTCACTATTCAAATGGACGTTATGACAAAGCATAAGTTTCACTTAGTCAGATTTTCTAATAACTGTTTTTTTTAATCTATTTATTTGAGTCAGTAGATAGATAACTTGAAAGTGAGGACAGACCTTAATTCAGTTTAAGCCATATAATTTGCATAAATAGTCATTGAAGAAAATATGAGATGCCGGTTTATTAGGAAACAAAGTTAAAATTAGTATTGTCTACTATGTAAAGGTGATCATAGGAAAAACTAAAAATAAAGTCAGGTGCTTGCAGATAGAGAAGACGAAATAAGGGAAGTAATATATATTTTTAGACGAATAGATATGTTGATTTAAGAACAATTGAAGTTAACTTATAACTCAGTCAACTAAAGTCAGCGAAAGAAAAAAATTACGTACGAAATTTTCTTTGGAAGCTAAAAGAAAGATACTATATAAAAGGATATTCTTATAATTAATCACACAAAATATGAATAACTTATGTTGAAATTAATCTTTGAAAAGTATATTGTATAATCTAATGTAATTTAACTTGATATATAATAATATAATAAACAATAAATAATAATGATATAATAGTACTATATTTAATTGAATATAATTATATTAATATGCTGCATATTATATTTAGTATAATATTTAATATATTTTTAATACAATTTCATAAGATGAAAAAAGATGAGAAATGATGTCTGCCACAAGCTCATTTTTTTCGGCAAGGGGTTAGCGTCCTACCAACTAACTAAGACCACTATGATATCGAGCCCATTTGAGCCCCTTTCAACCCAATTCGAGTAACTGGGCGCAAATTATGCCGAATACTCATCACATAAAGCTGTTACAAATGCTCGTATCTTTGTGTCATAGACGTCAAAAATGAAGAGTTAATTACTGATCACCGAATTTTTTGCCTAATTAATTACAGATTAAGTGCAATGATTCATTTTGCCCGATTCTGCAAATGGAACTCGAATATTGCCATCTGGGTTTCTGCCGGATGCAAACTTGCAAGATTTATTAAATTAATTTTATTGTATTTATGTTCTCTATAACTTAGTCTTGCATTAGCAGCAAAAAAGGAATTTCCTGTAGCATCTAACCATAAAATTGTTACTACAACTGAATTCCCTCTACAGTTTGGAAGTAATGTTGGGCTACACTTTTATGGAAGTTGCGAGTATTCTCGTCTCGCCTAGAATCTGATGTACTCTTCGATAGGCAATGCTTCCTCTACTAAGCGATACAGGCTGCATTCAGGAGAGAGAGCAAATGAAGCGGGGGAGTCAAAATGATATTTACATTATATGAATATATGAGAAAGTTGACGAAAGTATGTACAAAAAGAAGTGGGAGGTGGCCGATTGACCTCCCTCAAGAGCGAGTGGGGCATAAATACCGTTGAAGTTGCAGAAGCAAAAATAGTAAATCAGATGAATGTGCAGAATACAAACGTAATCCTTCAAGACGGGCTGTCACAATGAAGTCTCTCTACTTGACTCAGCGACGAGGTACTGCGACTGCTTCCGATCTCCTCGGCCGCCTCGAATGAGGCCAACGCGACTCTGGCATCGTCTCCAGCCAAATTCACGAGGCCAAAACACGTTTCCTCACTCTCCTTCCTCAAAATGCAGATTCTCGACGAGATGCAATCATTCGCGTCTACGTCCGTGTCCACTACGTCGACGTCTTCAATTCCATTTTCGCCAATCTGACCTTCTTCATCGTCGATATCCTCCTCCAGATCAGTCGCCAAGTCGCCTTCATCCAGCAGAGAGTCAACGGCGCTCTCTGAACGCTGGCCCCGTTTGGCCGCCAGCAGGTCACGCTCTAATTCTTCCGCTTCTCGCTTCATTTTGGCACGGCGATTCTGAAACCATGTGATCACCTGTCGGCCAAGTGAAAAAGACCAATTAACAAAACTCAAATACATACGGTGGAAAAAAAACTTTATACGATAGCTAATTCAGATGTAGATAGTATATCATAAGGTTGCAATGGCTTGATAGCAGAATTTTGCCACGATACAACATCATCCCGATTGGACTTATCTCGGTTTTCTGGTAATATCTAAGACTACTCATTATGAGTATAAGTAGCATTGTCTATTTTACCGACATATTCACTGCGATTATGCATTAGAGGAGAGCCCCCGGCTTGCCAGGAAAATTAATTCTTATCTGCGATCCCGTTGCATCCGTGGCCGTGTGGTGATGTAGAGTAGTAGTATGGTACTGGAAGTATACAATACCCTGCATCGTCTCGATTCCCTTATGATGTTCAGCTGGGCATCAGACGAAATCGGAATTGCTTGTGATTATAGAAAAATTCGGATAACAGATAGCTAAAATTTCACTGTTTATAGTAAGCACAGTTAATTAATGCGCATTATAATATTTTCACATTGTAATGTGTAGACCTCAAGAAATCAGGTACCAAGCTGAGATTTACTGTTTGTCTCGAAAGCTACTCATATCATATAGGAGTAAATTTGTCGATTCGTGCCAACTAAAAGTTAGTCTCATTGATAGTTGAGCTATAAAAATGTGATTTGGCAGGGACATCTACCACTTAACTATTTGTATGTATTACGTATGTATATCTGGCGGGGCATTGATACTTCACGCAAATGAATGCATGGCCTAGGCGTGAATCCCACTGGAATTACTGGCAAGAATGACGATTATGGTATTTATTTTGGTTGTGATTATCAGTACTAAACTGTGATTTAGTCTGGATCAGAAAAGCTATGTGGGACGATGAGATATGAAATTTAATGCCCCATGAGACCTACCTATTTTATTGTGGTTCAGACAATTTAAAGTTAGTACATTAAAAGATAATTAACCAATGAGTCCAAAAAAAATATATTTAATAATGACTAAAAATGGGTAGGCCAATGAATTTCACACCACGTCATCTCGGAAAATCATTTTTTTCATTCAGACCAAACTACAATTGCATCATGAGCATTATCAATATCCTTATTATTAGTGGTGGTATCTTAATCAGTTTGTTCAATAGTCTTATTGTAATTTGCGCCCGGGTCATCTGCGCCATGTAGTGAAAAATGTATTACTTGGCATGGGTGCCCTTCAAGGCAAGTTAAGACCCTACTCTAATACGAATATAAGTTAAGACTGTCCCAAATAACATTACTAGCAGTATTTGTCATTATAATAACGACGTTACTTAAATGCAAAGTGAGTAGTATCAGTAAATCTTAAGCAAGACCCTGGTATCGTGCAGGCTAATTATTAAATGTGCGTAAATTCTCTACATCATTCGAAGCGAACTATATCACTTCAAGTTCTTATGCAAGAATTAAAGCTGGTATCCAAAAATACTCACATTAAATATAAGGCTTATCTATCCTACCCTGCAGACTCACTCATTGTTGAAGAACTTGAAAAAAATAAGACAAGGATAAGGCTGCATTTCATTATGTGAAGTCTGGCTCTCGGTCCTCCAAAACGTCCGAAGCAAATGATGCCACTGGTACCTCCACTATTACTACGACTTACCTTACTACTACTTACTATGTAATTAATAATCATATAGTGTATAATTGACTTCAGAACGTGATAACTTAGTTCGTCCTGCAATAAGGTTGTGTGTTAAAGTCATTACTGAGTCCCAAGATAATGGAAGATATTGGTAGTACCACTTGAAAGTTGGGATCCAAAATTTGAGCCACCTTTATTCTATTCACTATTCCAAAAGGATTCTCCTCAACTAGGAATAGCTTACAATTTCTTACTCGGCGTTAGTTGAGCTTTGCGTTGCTATTTCACAAAAATATATTTGCCAGGCTGGTGTTAAAAATGTAACTTAGGCATAACATATTTTAATCGGTTATTTAGTCAACCGAGTATGTGAAGAACGATTCTACTGTTTTGAACGAGACGTGGCTCGTCTTGATATTGTCATTTTTCCAGTGACTCACGGGAACCCAATGGCTATTTATAAAATTGGTACCTTGTTGTCAATTGGCACACAAATACACACATCACAAACAACTCGATTTGGGTGTAGAAGATGATGATAACAATGACTCAAAATCTGTAGTACTTTCTGAAGGAACAGACAATTTGTGATCTGAGGCTAAGATAAATTTGCTGAAATCATGAGGCCTACTTATTTGACTGAGCAATATTCAAATATCAGTCTTTAAATCGCATTAAGAGATCTTGTCTGACTCAAATTTTTATTTTGTTTTATGTACCTGTGGCAGAAAGTTCGAGTTATAAAAATGCTAGCAAACCATATAAATGTGATTAGGGAAAGATGAAATGCTCATTATGAATATAGTTGCTCTTACACCCAGAAATATCCCATTTTGATCGTACATTGTTGATGTCTGATCTACTCGGCATATCCAAAAGTTATAAGACAAATGAGGAGTTTTAACTTCAACCCAGCTAAAGTTTTATTCTGGCTTAATTCCCTAAACTTTCTCTTAACATTGAGAAAGTTTATTGTTGTTCTACTGCCCTTTGACTCCCTCACATTCCTTCAGACTAAGCTAACTCCAGATCTTGAAATGCGTTAAGATAC